GAAATATGCAGAAAATGGTAGATTTAAGGCTAGCATGACTTCATTCTTTGCTATTAAGAAACAGTTGAATAAATAAAGAACATAGATTGGAATGTTGGAAATAATTCTATTGATCTGCACCATACTCACAATCCTTCCATAATCACTAACTAATTATTCTGTATAAACAGCAAATATGAATGCAAATTTAGCTGAGAGCTCTTTTAAAGTCAGTTTTCTTGGGATTTACAAGAGCATTGATAACAAGTAGTGAATTGCTGAACTCATTTTTGAAAGTCTATTATGGATGCCACCTTATTTTGTCTCTTTACTGACAACTTGATGTAAGATCAACAGGCTCCATAAACCTTTTTCCATTGCATAGTACATACCTAATTCCTCACTATATACTTAATTTTGATCTTGTAGCCTTTTAAAATGTTAACAGCTGTTCATTGGTCCTTCATCAATGTACTCAACTGCAGGGAGCAACTGACCAAATACTCTCATCTTTGCTAACATTATCAATACAGACCAAAGCACTTAAAATAATAATGCTCTTAATTTGCAATTTTGTATGACAATAGATATAAAAATAAATGTACATTTGTACCTTGTGACAAAAAGCAAGATATATAGAACAAACTATTTTACTGTTTTGTAATTAGACAAACCTCACCAGTTAATATATTTATGGATGAAAACATTTTATCTGACTTTTCATTGAAAGTGATATTTCTTTTCCTCTCTATAATATTAAATCACATGTTCTTAGATACACCTACAAGTAATCATAGCGTGAACTTAGACTGAGAATTGATTTGTAATAGTTGTTTGTTTGATGGAATTTGATGCTAAAGAACACTAAAATAAATGTTTTTCTATCACACTTGAGGTGGTGCTGAAAGATTTTCAGCTCATCCCACTTCCCAAAATCTGATCAAACATTAAATTTTTAAAGTGCTTTTTGGTTCAGTCAAGAATTTTTTAGTATCCCACCCCTATTTATACTCCTTCTATATCCTTATGTTTTCTACTTTTGACACAACTTCATTCTTTTCTTCCACCTAGACAGTTGCTCTTCCTAACAATAAATGAGATTTACTTAATCTGTACAAATAATATCATTTCTCAATTAGACATTGTTTTTTTATTGAGGAGTTTTGACTCCTTTAAATTGAAAAAATATAACAAAAGAATTTTTTGTAACAATTGAGTTTTTTGATTATTTTTATGATATATATATATATCATAAAATGCTATTAAAAATTAAGTATTTGAGAATTTCTGCATTCCAAAATACTTAATTTTCTGTGATTTTTCATTATATGGTGTATTTTTCTGTGATTTTCTTTTTCCTTTTTTATTCATTTCCTTCATGAATATTTTGTTAAGATTAACTCTTTGCTATCACCTTTTGAGAAAATATATGTTTAACTTCTATTATTAGTCTAAAGATAATAGCTTTAATCTTGTATTAGTGAAGGTTTTAGATCCAATTTGATTTGTTTGGAGCAACAAAAGCCAGATGAATAAAAGATTTAAAGTTTTTTGTTGTTTTTTTTTTTAATGTTTGTTTTGTGTTTTGCTTCCCCAAAGTGCATATTGGTAGACTGGAGATTGTATCCGCTACACAGGCCTTGTGAATCTATTAAGCCACTCATCCTGTCTGTTAAATCTCTGTTCATTGAATATGTATCTGACTTTTGCATCACATAAACATCAACGAGTCAATGCTTGCTTGATAAAAACACTGATAGGATAAAAACAACTACAGGATTATGAGGCTGCTTATCAAACTTTTCCTATTTTGTTAGTCTATGACTGGTTGAGATAAAAATGGATCTTCACTCGGTTAATAAGCAGCGTGTAGCTAAATTTCTCTTCCCAGTTCATGTTGCTATGTAAATTTTTTATTATCAACTTCATTATGCATGCTTACTGCAAAAGCTCACAGATCAAAGTAGGGATGAGATTCTTTTTTCATTCCCAACTTTCTCTTCTCCTACCAACATAGTTTTTGCTTTCTTTTTTCCTCATTCTCTTTGGCCATCTTTTGTAGACAACAATTTTTTTAATATTATCCTCAACTGATAACATTGCTTGATGTTCTTTTTTTGCCTCTACTCTGATGCTACTTTGTTTTTGTTTTGTTTTTTTAAATAATTCTTGTTGACCCTTTTACATTTTTCATTTTTATTAAATACTGTTTTTTTTTTTTTTTTTTGTCTCAGATATATTCCAGCAAGTATCTTAATCTTAGTTGTTTTTATCTACTTGGTTTGAATTGTGTGTTCTATCATCACTAATAATATACTGTGCACCTCTCCCTCTGTATTTTTGACTTGTATGCTTTCAATATTAAGTAAGAGTATTATGCATATCAAACTTTGCTATATTTTGGCCGCTGAGTTTGAAACCCTGACACACTACAGCAACCAAAGATGATATTTGAAAATAAATAAATAACCATAAAAATATGTGTTTTTGTTCTTGTGGTCATCTTGGATATTGACAGAATTGTTTAGTTTTAGTGGTCAGTTAAAAATTAGTATCACAACCATACACAATTATTTATCTTGAAATTATTCTAGATCATGCAGTTATTTTTTCTGATATAATACTCTAGATTTTATCTCTAAAAGAAATATTTTTATAATACCTTTGTTTGCTTTTAGATTTATTTCTTTACTTGTTTTTTTTTTATATCCATTACATATCGGTCATGGAAAGTTTTTGACTGTGTACTCAGCTGCCCCACATGTAAACAACTTATGGCTTGTGTTTCTTCAGATATCTGGATTTTTTGGCTTTTAATTCTGTGTAAATGGGAGATTTTTGCTATCTAAATCCAAACTTGCTAAATCTTATCCTTTGCTTGCTAAATGTGTTATATCTTTGTGTGGATCTGGCTGCTCTCACTTTTTTTTCTCCTACAGCTGTTGCAAATCACTGGGTTGTGAAAGGGTAAGGGTGTGTCTCTATCAAGCCTTATTGATCAGCTTCGCTTGTAACATTGACCTCAGAATGAGTATCTAGTTTGGGATAAGGGTGTGATATACACATTCCTTCTTACATGGAAGACACTGCATTATAAGAATATGAAAAAAAATTCCAGCAGACAAAAGAGCAGTCTTGTTTGTAATAATCCTTATTTATTCTAATCTTTTCCCATTTTTTGCTAACATGAAAAGTATAATCGTTTAAGAAATTGCTCTAAATCATTGACAGAGGGTTTCACAGCTCATTTTAAGAGTTGATGTGCTAAAATAATATAGTTTATGCTCTTTTCTTGAGCTCAACTGAGTTCTGTGCTACTTGACTGAATTTAGAATGAGATCTTAAACAAAAATGTCATATCAGATTGGCTGATACTCTTGATTATTTGACCTCTGATGCTAAACAGTTTTTCTGTTTGTGTATTTTCATTAATTTGTGTTTTCCAAATGTTTCCATACCATAATTAATGGATTGGTCAATGCTTTATATAATAAGCATTTTGGTATGAAAAGGAAAAAAATAAATGCAACTTTTTATGAGGTGGGTGGGGACTCACTTGTACAGCGGGTGTAGTACCCCAAGGAGGAGTGAAATGAAAAAAGATTCATTTTCTGGTGTAGGAGTAACATGAGACAAGGCTTAATTGTGTTTAATGATTATTGAAATTAAAAAACATAAAAGAAATAATTTAGTTTTTAAGGAATCTTGCCTGAATATTGAAATAACTGAGTATAAAACAATACCCTATCTGCTACATTTGCCAAATCAAGAAAACATGATGACTAGGTATTATTCTCTTGGCTGAAATAAAAAAAAATTATCTCGGAAAAATTTTTGAGATTAAGTTGTTTATATAAAGAACTAACTAGCCAACCATTGGGATGTGTAGTGTATTTACATGAAGATATATTTGCTGGTAGATTTATTGGAAGAATAATTTTCAGGAAATAGGTTATTAGAACTCCATTGGTTAGCTGGAAAGCCCCTTTATGTAAATTAATGATCAAAGTATATCAATACCATATTGGCAATAAATTGGCAGAGTGATTTTTTTTTTTTTTTGTGTATGTATGTATGTATGTGTGTGTGTGTGTGTGTGTGTGTGTGTATATATATATATATATATATATATATATATATATATATAGTTTTGCCAAGACCATTAGAGAGAAGAGACACATAGGAGGTGTGAGAGAAACAAGAAGAGTGGATCTTGGCAACAACTGTAAGAGAGAACCAATTGAGTATCACCTTTTGAAAAGCTGGAGAATGATTGCATACATAATCAATTGTTGTTCTATCATCTTAATTGTAAACATGTAATTCAGGGTTTAGACTACTATGTACTTCAGTCAAGCATTAAAATTGGAGGAAGGAAGAATCACCTAGATAACCAACAGCTAAAATAAACTTTTACTCAAATTTTGTTAAAGTATACTTCTACATTATTATTTGAAGACTTTAATCAATCTCAGGAATCTGTCAGCTTTAATTTTGTGTCAAATGTGCCTATTCAGGCTTGCAAGGTTTCAACTCTGAGTTTGGGATTTCTATCCAGGACATAGGACCAGTGATCCAGATAACTGTCTGATGCTCTCAGCCATAGTAATGTCAGAATTGAAAAGCAAGGAGCAGAAAACAGCAAAGTACCAATGAGATGTATTCATAAAATCACCACATCTCCACCTAGGCATATTGTTACATCTGGTGCTGTGACTAAAGTTTCTTGACTCTGAGGTTACCATGAAAAGATGTGCAACATTTTGTGCTACCATTAATGACCTGAAGCTTGAGCCTGTACCTTTAAAAAAAACAAAAAAAAAAATGGTTTCTTTCATCATTTTAATATTTTTATCTATTTATAATGAAATAGATTAAATCTGCTTTCATCCCTTGAAGTTTTATTTTATATTTTTCTCTTTCTTCTAGGTGACAAGCCATTGCCAATTCATTGTATTGTTGAACAGATGACAGGGGCACCTACATTTGATACTAGCAGTCCTGGCCATACCACTGTAGATATGGACAGCTATGCCATCCTACCTGGCAGTACCCCAATGAATGAGTTGGTTCGAGCTGCCCTAGTAAAACTAGGATATAGTCCTGCAGAAGCCATGGGAGCAAAAGGTAAATGAATAAAGCTTTAATTACTATAGGTTAATATATGTTAATCCATTCACATTTTCATAATGTTTGAACATTGGTAAGAAAGAAAGCTTCGTTTCTGTGTTTGTTTTTTTTTTGTTTTGTTTTTTTCCCAAAATCCTCTGTAATTAAAAACAAAAGAAAATAAAACCTGTCTCATTGGGAAGAGAATGATAGACTTTAAGAACCAAACAAATTTTGATGCACCAAAAATGCTATTTATATCAATGTAGTTCTAAAAGTAATAGTCTGACAACCTTAACAGCTGATTTTTCATTTGATTGATTTTGATACAAGCTGATTTTGATCCATGTCACTTCAAAATAATACTTACATTTTTTAGTGACTGATGTTTATATAGGTTTTTAGAGAGATTCCATTCTTTGTAAGCCATTGTGAGTAGGAGAGAAGAAAACAAATTTTTCTTTTATTTTTGCTTAGTAATATCAAACAATAGATACTCAGTCTTGTTAAGAACTGATCTGACTTAGCAGTTTTTGTATAGAACATTCTGTTTAGTATACATCTTTTTAAATTATCTTTGATAGATACTTTGTCTCATCTTACCTAAAATTTTAATTATCTGTAATAAGCATAGATTATTTCTTTAGGTAAGTGTATATTCAATGTGTAATTACTTGCAACTACTTTCTAACCTTATTCTATTACTCATGGGAAAATGCTTGCCAAATTTCCCTTAAGTAGAAACCAACCACAAAGGTTATAATGAAGAATTCAGATCAACATTGAATTGCAGGAATTTTTTTTCCTTTTTATTTCCCTTTTCTTTCTTTTTTTTTCATCAGTTACCTGAGCTTAGTACATTGCACTGTTATTTTTGCCATTTTCATATTAACCCATTATATTCTTCAAGCTTTTTAAATTATCTACCTTTAACCATAGTTGTTTTTAAAGGAATTGGATATTACAACTAAAAATCATTTAGTTTCATTCAAAAATATGATTTCTTTTAGAGAATTTTCTTCATGTAAGTTAAATGACTTATTTAATCTTATTGAATTCTTTTAAAATAAATATGATTAAAATTGTAAGGTTAATCAATGAAAGTTAATGTATAATTTATTCAAGATATTAATGTAGTATAAGAATGTTGGGGAAGAGCTGTTTTTACAGCTTGATTAATTTCAATTTATCCTATTTTCTCTATTAATTTGATATTCTGTAAAATGGCTAAATAACTATTTAAAACCCATAGCAGCATTTCAGAAGTGCCCTCACTTTTTTTTTTTTTGCTATGTATTCTACCCTGTAAGGCTTTACATGAAAGTCTGGTCTAGAAAACATGTTTTCTAAAAATATATTATTGAATGCTTTTTCTTAGCATGAATTATAGCATAATGACCAGACAGTGTGGTAAAGATAGTTTATGAACAGCTAGATAGATTTTTGTTTCACTTACTCAATTGAGATGTAAGGCTTTTATATAAAATTCAACTGTTTTTGACATGTTTCTGTTAATTATTTTTAAGCCTTGATTGAACCAGTATTGCCGTTTTTTTTTTATTTCTATAAAAGGAGTGATACAACTGAAGAACTGGAAAGCATTGCCATTTGAAAGCATTACAGATAATTTGCAATCTACAATTGATCACATCCTAGGAGACTTGACTTCAGTTGCAGTTCTACGTATACGGCTATCCAGGTAGGATACCTTTGCTTTTCTTTGCTGTTTTTTTTTTTTTTTTTTTTTTTACCTGATTTAAAATATAATTAATATGAATGACTGATTTCAATCTAAGGATGTCCAAGTACTCGTCTTCAAATAACATGTAATTGTTATCAATATTTGCTGGAGATATTTTTTCTACTACTAATCTTTTGTGATAGCAAATACAATTAAAAAATTATTGAGTGAAAACAAACTTTTTCTGCATCTATTTATAGCTTCTTAATTTAAGATATTTTCCAAAGTGTATCATGCAAATAAAACTCACTCCTTTAGATTGTTAAAAAAATGACTAATATTTAATGACTTCACTTTAAAAGACTACTACACTATTTTATCAACTGTAGTGTCAACAAATTAATGCAGAAAATAATTCAACAATTGACAATTGTACCCACCATTGGAACAATTCTGAAGATCCTTTGAAAGGAGCTGCAAGAATTGGAAATTTGAAGAAAAATTGCCATCACCCAGACAACAGTAGCATTACTAAAATCAGTTTAAATATTGAGGAGAGTGCTGAAGCACTGGTAAGATTTGCTATCACTTGATCTCACAAGAAAGTTATGGACTATTAGTAAAATGAGTACAAAATAATAAGAGTATCATTATTAATATAGAAGACATGGTAACAATAAAAATGGACACGATTAAAAGTCAAACACAAAAAAATCACAATTATTGTAGTTGGTAAGGAACTGGAAACACAAAATTAAGGAAAAGAGAAAATATAATGGAATAAGCTGGCAGGTTTTATGCCTTACCCTTCATAGCTTGATTAAGGTAAATAAAATAAATGTGTACAGTGATTTTTTTTTTGTTTTTTTTTAAGAAAAAAAATCAAGGACAAACAGAAAATACATCTGCCTCAGTAATATATTTTGATGATTACATTACAGATTACATTAACTTCACACAACCACTTCTGTTTACATATGGATAGCTGTTTTGTTTTAATAAAGATTGTTTCTAGGACTTTCAGATAGAAACTAGGTTATGATCTGCATAGAACCAAAAACATGTCCATACTGAAGGATGCAACACAAATAAGATATTCACTTATTACAGACCCAAAAGTATCAGCAGACCTATGCAAATCATTGTTGATCTTTTCTAATATATGACAGGATGTTGTTTAATTCTCTTCTCTAAGAGTTGTCATCCTATTTATATAGTCGGCATCACACTAATATTTTATTTCATATACAACAGAACTCGTTTTAAAGGTAGGCAAGACATCTTTTTTATTTGATCTCAACATAGATCAAGAAGAATTAGCCAAGCAAAAGCAATACCTAACACTGTTTAAGATTTGCTTAGCAAATCAGATATATACCAGACAGTTCTTGACACCAAATATTTTAGCCTTATGGCACTGTGCAATCTTTTCATTAATGCTGGGTTGCATAACATTCAGAGGTTAGCCATTATCCCAAAATGTTTTTTAATGGTTTCCAATTACTACTATTTATTTCTTTTGTAGAGTAGATCAACAAAGCTCAATGGACTAAAATCTTCACAAGATTTATTTTATACAATCTAGGATAAAATGAATCCCAATGAACATACAATCCCATGAACATAGATTTTCAATGCACAAATCTAACAAAAGTAGAATCTTGTCTTTGTATTATAATGTTCAAGAACAGTAATGTGCCATCACTCCCTTTTTCACAAGAGAAACAGAGAGTCAAAATGCAAACCATTCAAAACTTCACACTCTGTTTCTAGGACTTTCAGATGGAAACTAATCTTTATTAAAACAAAACAGTTATCCCTGTGCAAACAGGAGTGGTTATGTGAATATAATGTGATCTGTCTATGGAAAGGTATATTTGTCTAAATATATTATTGAGTGAGGTATATTTTCTGTATTTCTCTCTTTTTTTTTTTTTCTTTTTTTTTTCTTTTTTTAATTGCCATGGATATTTATTTTACTTACTTTGATTGAACTCAGAAAAGTGAGGCATGAAACTGGTTAGTTTCTTTTTTTTTAATCTGCCCTCTCTCACCTTTTTTGCTTTTGATGCATTTCCAGTTTTATAACAACTATAGTAGTGATAATGCTTCTGTATTTAACTTTTATTATGTTTGTTTTTATTGCCTTAATAAAGTTCAGCGCTGCTAACAGTATTTTTAAATATAGGAGAAATGCTCATTTGTGTGTGTGTGTGTGTGTGTGTATATATATATATAGAGAGAGAGAGAGTGAGAAAGACATTGTATATATCTGTCAAATAAAAGAACTGATTAACAGTAATTTAATGTTTATTTTATAGCTATTTGAGCTTCTTGTCCCAAACAAATTTTGTTAATTTTCTAATGACACTTCTTGCAAATTTTGATGATTATGAAATTATTTTGTGGTCTTTTTAAATGTCTCACACTTCATGAATATTGGTTATGTTGTTTGTGAGAAAATATGTCAAATCTTTATATCATCTGCTTTATAAAAGCATATTTCAGAAAAATATAGTTTATTAACTAATTTATTCCTCTTTTTTTCTTCTACTTTTTCATTTTAAGAATTTGAGATTTAAATAGATTTTATATATATATATATATATTATATATAATGTGTGTGTGTGTTTTGCTCAGTCTAAGCAATTTAGTCTTTGAGCACTTTACTGATTAATTAAATTTGCTTTCTGGCCTTTTTCTCTTTATTTTTTCAGTATTGTTGTCTTTATTCAAGACTGTTTCTAGATAAGAGTTTAGGTTTTGGCAAGCTGTCCGTTGGTTCCCCTAACAGTTTTTTGTTTTACTTTTAATAGTATATGTGTGTGCATATATATATATATATATATATATATATATATATATATATATATATATAATTGATTTTTTTATGACTTAACCAGCATATGTTATGCCCCTCATAATATTGACAATATTGTTTTGTCTCTCATCTATTCCAATTACCATATTTGAATGTTTCATCTCCAAGGTTCAGAAATCTTAATGAAATGAAATTTGATTTCTTTCCCCTATCCTTTAGTTTACCAATAGATTGAAAAGAAATAAAAACTGGAAAATATTTACTTAAACATTTTACAGCCAAAAAATAATGCAAACAAAATCTACATTTCATTTCAATTTGTTTTTCATATCAAATCTTTCTTTTCTGCATTTCATGATTCATAAAGTCTTATGTTGTCTATAACTGGCCTAAATCATATTATCAAAGTTTACAAATCTGAATTAGAAAAATAGAAATGTAATTTTTTTTCTTTATGAAGAGAGCTTGATATTGAAATTTGTGAAAGGAAACCTCAGTGATTATTAAGATGCCAAATTATATTTTCAAAAGGATTACTTTTATTACTGTAGTCAACTAAAATAAACACAGCAAACTCTTTAGGACTACATGACTTGAATATAAGCATACCTGAAAATGTTACAAATCTTCCTAAATTAGTTAACTGTACTTACTAAATTTACTTAGGATCGATTGGATGATGTCTATCTCATTATATTGTAGGGTTTCTTGATTGATTCATATGTATAAGGAAAAGGAACATTAATTTACTAGCCCCATTCAAATCTCATGTTGAAATCAACTATCTTTTATGTATGCCTTTACTAATACTCTTGGCTAATTTTTTTTTTATATAACAACTAGGATACAAACTTTCATATAAATCATTTGAAAGTGAATACAGAATCAATCTATTATACATGCAAACACCAAAATGAAGCTTGTCAACTGAAACAATAATTCTTCATTTGAAATAAAAATCTCCCCCCCCATACTATCATGTAAATTCTCTTTGTTGGGTGTTCTTCAGCCCTTATCAGGTGACTTGTTGCACATACCTAATTCCAAAATTGGTTAAATGGATTTCATAACTCACTTAAAAATCATCCTGAAATATTAAATCAAAACTATAAACAAGGAAGTTTTTTTTTTTTTTTTAACTGACAAAGCAAAAAGGTACTAAACTTTTCTATAAATCATGTTTCTTAATATAAATACATTTTTAAAAGCCTTGGCTTTATTTTAGACACACTTTAAATTTGTAATTTCTGCAGCTTCTTTTCTACTTTTGAAATATCTGGTTTAGGAAAACTGACTTTGTATCAAACAAGACTAAAGAGCAAAAGCATCCTTTACCAATAAATGATATTTGTTTGTTTCTTGGATCCTTTCTTATACACTTGATTAGTTGTGCTTAATTTGGACATAAAGAAAATCATTTGGTTTGTAAATTATATGAAATAGCAATATTTTCTCTAAAAATGTTACATAATTATAGTTTCAGTTGTATTAATAATTTTATTTTCTGAATTTTGTTTATATGACATTTACAAATATGGAAACATTATTTACAAACTTTGTTGGCATGTTTAAAATTTTTAAAAATTGTCACTAAAATAGAAGAATTATCACTTAAAATTTTTATAAAATAAATATTGAAAATGAACTAATAAAAATTATTCACTAAATTTTTTTTTTATACAATTATAGATTCACTAATTTTGATGACATGGTAAACTCCATATCTGCTACTAGTTATTTTGTGTTATACAGCTTCCTGTTTGTTAAAAGACAAACTCTTGAAACACATCAATATTAATAATAATAATAATAATTGACATGAAAATGTTTCTTTCAAGTTTCCTAAACAATGATTTCAATGTTTTCTTAGCCCTCAACATTTGGCACAAACTAATATCTGGAGAAATGTTAATCAAACATCCAAATACTGATTTTTGTCATCAATTGGGCCTCCAAACAAAATATGTGGATGCTACTAATCTTTTCATCAATAAAATTATTACAAAAATAAACTTCTTGTTGTTTTGGAAGGACAATAGTTAACTTGAACTTTTTGTAATTGTCGGTCTTTTCTCTTCCTCCTCCTCTTCATCATCATCATATTTTTGTTTGATGCTGCTACCTGTCATCAACACTGATTTGATTTTTATTTGATTTCTCATTTATTTACCCCCCTCCCCCAAGAGAACGGAAAATT